CAAGGAGAGACGATTTTCTAGCTTGACCCCGGTTATGTCATGCATTTTCTCTTGTAAAATACATCCAATAGCGTACATTCAACTCAAAAAGTACGGTGTTTTTTCAATAGAATTAAATCTAAACCATATAATACAGTCCGTGAATAGTTGAATTAACTGAATCCACTTCTGTTTTTTGCCTAGATAGTCATTATTTTGAGAAAAGATACAAAAACCGTGTTTTGAGACATAAGTGTATGGGCTCACATGAGGGGGCGTGAGCTTGAAATCGTAGCTGACCGACAGAGCAGAAAAAACGACAAGGCTGCTACTTTCGCAATTTTTTTCTTTATCTCTCATTAATGCTAAAAACGTTTAGTGTTTCATTCGTGTCTCTTGTGCTTTAAACTTTTCACAAAATTCTGCTAACCTCGAGCAATTCTCAGCGAGGTACTAGCGAAAATGTTAGTTTTTGTGCTGATCAAAATATCATCTCTCTCAACGTTCAGGGCGTTATATCTCAAATACGCATTCCTTAAATTTCCTCAAATTTTGGTATTTTGTTAATCAGCCCCAAAAGAGCCTGTTTATAAAATATAAAGTTTATTAACGCATAAACGTCGAAAGTAGAACCCGTTTTTCTGCCTTTTCAGCTGACCAAATGTTAACAGATTTTTTCTGATGCGGCGCAAATATTTTGAAAGTCAACCATGTCGACGACACGTCTACACATGTTCCTGCGTAGTCTGTATGTAAATTTGTTGAAAATGTCAACTTTCATGAAAGGATTCAGTTAGAAATTGTCAAAATTTATAGTCAGTACTTAAAACTTAATAACATGTCTTTCATRTTGTTTTTGTTAATATAGTATCTTGGTCACGCCAGAGTAAGGCACCCAATTTTTGTGTATAGTAGACGTGTTGTAATAGAAAGCTAGTATTTCTAAATTCTTGGAAATTCTTGCTCAAATGCACGCATGCTCAAACTTTGTTATCTACGAAAATATCATTCTCGTGACACTAGGGAAAAACGCTTGCGCATGCGTGCATTTCAGCACGTTTTCTAAGAATTTTGAAGAGTTTGAGTGAGAAAATATATGTTTGTTCTCCGAGTATACAAAAAAGTTCGAGAGTATACTTTTGTCAGACCAAGATAATGTATTAACAAACACAATATGAAAGAGTTAGCCTTAAGTTTCAAGCATGGACACTAAGTTTTGGCATTTTGTGAATTCAAATTTATCAGGCATGTTTGAAAGTCAAATTTACTTATGTTTTGACTAATTTGCATACGGATTCAGAGCATGCGCAGACGTTTTTCACTCGTGCCCATCCCGCGTACCCAGAGCCTTTATTTCTTACAGCGCATGCTCGACGAAATAAAAGGGCCTAGAAAAGTCTCTCGTACCCAGAGCTCTTCGGCTTAAAAACTCCATTGACCGGAAGCCAGATTCTGCCTATTTCGCACATATGTATTACACTACGGTGGCCCATAACTGTCACTGCAAATCAAAATTCTCACGGCACTACAAAAAATATTCACCGCAAAATGACCAATTGTCACGGCACTACACAATATTTCACGGCAAAATGACCAATTGTCACGGCACTACACAATATTTCACGGCAAAATAACAAATTCCCATGGCACTACACAATTTCACTCACGGCAAAATACAGTGAAACCCCTCTATACCGGACCCTCAGTATGCCGGAATTCTTTATAAACAGGACRAAAGTTTTGGTCCGGAAATTTTTCCCATATATCTTTTGTAAAATAAACCTCAGTAAACCGGAACCTCTCTATTCCGTAAATTCCGATAATTTCGGTACCAAACGCTATTTGACAATAGAATTCAACCCCGCTAGTCCGGAAGAACGTACCTTCGTTTCGGAACTACCGTCACTAGCGTATTTGCGGGTGTATAAATTGGGTCTACAGAGACAACTTCTAAACTCACAAAATCATTGAAATTTTTCTTTAAATAGTAAATCTTGTTCACAAATAGACATTATAAAGACTAATTAATTGTTTTCAGTATATAAATGTTCAAACAGATTGCATAAGGAAGGTTCAATAGTGTCGAGAAACACTAAAGATCGAACGGTTCGCGAAGTCGCGGCCGCCATGTTTTTTCATGTCACATGGCTTTGGGGTCCTTCCCATTCCATTTTACCGGGGATTTTGTTCAGATCGTATTTAGAATGTTTTTTCTTGGCGTTCTTTTGAAAAAAGATAAGAAATTTGCTTAGTTTTTGATCTTACTGTTGATATTTTTACTTCAACTTTCGTTTACGTGTTTGTTTATACTGACGCCAAACGTTTAGACACAAACATATTTTCAATAGGTGTGATATCGCACCTATTCAAATCGAAAACAAAAGTAATTTGCAAAAACCTCAGTATAACGGAACCCTTGCTATACCAGAATATTTTATCGGTCCCAGCACTGTCCGGTATAGAGGGGTTTTACTGACACAAAGCCGCGGCATAGGGAACCCAATGTTTAAGATGACGGGGTACAATATTGTCGACAAAATCTTCCTCACCCCTGTGGCCCCCAGTGACGCGTGATTGAATGGCGCCATTTTGTACTATTTGTGGCAATGAATTAGAAAAGAAAGATCATTTTTGCACACGATGTGGAAAAGGTGAGATTCTTAAATTCAATTTCATTAATTTGAATTATTTTTTCACTCGTATTATAAACTGCTTCGAAACAACTAATTTTTTGGAAATATGCTGACTTATAAGCGGCTTTGTGTATATTTTGCCGTGAGTGAAATTGTGTAGTGTCGCAAAGATTGGTCATTTTGCCGTGAAATATTGTGTAGTGCCGTGACAATTGGTCATTTTGCGGTGAATATTTTTTTGTAGTGCCGTGTCCTTTGCTTGTAGCATGCTGACGACGGGGCTGACAACTACATTATTGACTTATACCTTCCTTTCCTTCAAGTCAGGAAGGCAGTATTTTACTAGTTCATGTGATAAAAGCCTAAGACAATGCTCTTTAAATTGTTTGTGACAAGCTGTATTAATTATGTTTGCACAACAGAAAATTCATAAAAGTGAGGAAGAATATATATATATATTAGATTATAATCAGGGCGATTACAAAAATCTTTTGAAATAAATCATTGGTTAAATGGCAGAACAGACCGCTTTATTTAAACATTATGATAGCAAGATTAATTCCTTGGGATCATGAATCAGTATTATTATTCTTATTTTCTTTCAGCCAGTAAGGATTAAACCTAATCCACTGTTTTCCCCTTACTGAATCACCATTTTGTATCGAAATTAATTTTTAATTCCGGTGTCATCCTTTGTTTTCTTGAGAACCAATCACGAGGTCGGATTATGCCATAGCCCTTGTTCTTCACCGCAGGCCAGAAGAAACACAGACTCTGGGTACGAGAATTACAATCTCGTACCCAGAGCCCTTATTTCTTACTGCGCATGCTCGACGAAATAATTGGGCTCTGGAAAACTCCAATATTTCCTGTGCTGTGATTGATTCTCGAGAACAAAGGAAGATACCGGAAGTAAAAATTACAGTACAGGGAAAATAAACAAGATGGCGTCTCGAATTAAGTACACCAAAAAAGCCTGTAGGGCCGGATTCTAAAAGTTTTGCCGGTTTTGTAATGGAAATTGTATTGATGTCCATCCATTAAATATTTTCGGAGTTAATTTAACTGAAAACCATCTTCAAAACCTAATTTTCGAAGCGCAAATTCACATGCTCGTTGAACATCGTCCGCCATTTTGAATTTACCTAGTCTGTCATAATGCRCATGTGCGAGAAACCCAGAATCTGGGTCTTCCGGTTTGGAGTTTTCCACAGCCCAATTATTTCGTAGAGCATGCGCAGTAAGAAATAAGGGCTCTGGGTAAGAGATTGACGAGAATTAGAGCTTATTTATTTCGTCGAGCATGCGCAGTAAGAAGTGAAGGCTCTGGGTTTTTCTACTGGTTTATTGTTTCCATTGAATTTTCCCCAAATAGATGTATCGTTTACATCTATTATCGTTTGAGGTATGGTATTTACGTCGAAGCATCCTGGCCATATTCTTGTACATGCGCAGTCAATGTCACAGAAAGTGTCAAGTTCTATTGTTGAAAACAATAGCTTACTTGTATTTGATACGCGTATTTATACATGTATTTTGTATTTTAAGCGTACAATTCAGCTCGTGTTCTAGGAAATTAACTTGAAAAGAGCTTCTGTCCAAAAATTTGTATTGTATTATTACTTGCAAGATCTTACTTTGCTCACGGCAAAACTTTCTTTGTTCACGGCAGATCTTACTTTGCTCACGGCAAAACTTTCTTTGATCACGGCAAATCTTTCTTTACTATAAAATTTATTAAAAGTTCAGGATTCCTGTGTTCCTAGTACAGGAATCAAAATGGCGGATGAAACAAATGAGAAATCAACACTTGAGTCTTTG